CTCCAGGTTGAGCTGTTGTTCAGCATCTTAGCTGTAGAGGGCAGTGTCACTGGCTCTCATATGTGGGATCCGAACCAGGGCCCTCTGGTGTTCCAAGCCAGTTCTTAACCATCACGCCACTCGGCCGGCCCTATTCTTAATTTTTTGAGGAACCTTTATACCGTTTTCCATAGTGACTGTACCAATTTACATTCCCGCCAGCAGTGTATGAGGGTTCCTTTTTCTCCACAACCTCTTCAACACTTGTTATTACTTGTCTTGTTGATGATAGCCATTCTTAGAGGTGTGAGGTGGTATCTCATTGTGGTTTTGAATTGTATTTCCTTAATACCTAGTAAAGTTGAGTATCTTTTCATATATTGGTTGGCCATTTGTATGTCTTCTTGGGAGAACTGTGATCTTTTGTGAACTTCACATTTTAAGAGTCCAGGCTAGTCTACAATCTGGATTTATTTTTTAATGCTTCCTCATTATTAGATTCAGGTTAAACACTTTTTGGCAAGATTACTACATAGCTGATGTTGTTTCCTTCTTTTGTATCACATCAGGAGACATATAATAGCAATTTGTCCCATTGTTGGTGATGCTGACTGATCACTTGGCTAGCATGATGCCTGCCAGATTTCTCCATTATAACAGCATCTTTTCCACTTAATAATTTGTCAAATGAGACCTACCAGCCTCATACCCAGTGGCTTTAGTATTTATTGATTGCTCTTGCCTGAGTCAATCATAGTTAGTTGCAAAATGAAAGTTTTAAGGTTTTTTTTATAAAGATTTTATTGAATAATTGGGGGAGGGGACACACAAGTTGTTGTCCTTTTGTTCTTCAGTCTAGTTGTAGAGGACATCGATTTACTGGCCCATGTTGGTATTATGATTGCGCTCTTCCCGGGTGAGGCAGATCGGTCGCTGGCCACTAGATGGCCACTCACAGCGGCTTTTGGCAGCTCACCCTGGCTGCCGGCTGCTCACACCGGCTGCCAGTGACTCACGGTATCTTATGGCAGCCCACTGCCGCTTTACTGCAGCCTATGCCGTCACTGGCTACTCACGGGAGCCCAGCTCCAGGTCGAGCTGTTGTTCACCATCTTAGCTGTAGAGGGCAGTATCACTGGCCCCCATGTGGGATCCGAACTGGGGTCCTGCTGCTCAGAGCTGGTGTCCCAAGCCAGCTCTTAACCAATGCGCCGCTCGGCCGGCCTGTGTGTGTGTATCTATCTATCTATCAATCTATCTATCTATCTATCTATCTATCTATCTATCTATCTATCTATCTAAATTAGTCAGAAGTTTATTGGTACAACTAAAATTTTCAGAACACTAGAAAATTTGCATATGGTTAGATAAGTTGTTGAGTTTTGAAACAGTAACTGTTCACTATATCAAATTGTCAGGAATCCTTTTCAAAACAGAGATTTGGTTAACCTCACTTTTTCATTTTAATTTTTTATGGCAGTGTATACCAACTAGCATTCCAGAAGTCCAACAAGAGAGTGTAATCAGTCCTCAAGATTTAGCAGGTATGGTAATCTGCTTCAGTAAAGTGTCATGGAATGTAACAATATGGTTATTACTTTCCTACCCATTTGGAAAAACCAAAACAATTTTGTTTTTTTTTTTATGATGGCCTTGAATTAAAGAAAAACAACTTGAAGTATTTTGTGTATAAGCTTTGTTGCTCAAAGTTGTAAATCTCCATAGTGAATCATTTTTATTCTTTATGAAATTACTTTTTTTTTGGAATGTAATTCAGTTTTTTATTCTCGGTGATAAGTTGTTGTGAGACTATTTTAGAAATGAAATAAGTAAATGATTTTTTGTTCTTTCGTGGTTCAACTTTTCATTACTAACTTTTAAACTTTGATAGCGAATCTAGTTGCTGACGTACACAACGATGGTGAGGATGAACAAGCATTCATTTTAACTCTGGTGGAAATTCCAACCAATGGAGTGGAAGAATTTACTGATCCTGCTTCACAGTTAATGCCAAACCCTTTACTGCCAGCACCCATATTGGTCAAATCAGTGAATATGGAAGAAAAGGGTGACATGAGGTAATGAATGAGCTACGCTGTTTTTGCTAGTAGGAAAGGTGCTTTATGAATTGAATAATACTGATTGAATGAGTCATTCACCATAAACATTATTTATAATTGTCCTGGAGATCTTATTTAGTAATTATGTGGTCAATTACAGAAGAAATTGTTTATTTTATATCTGATAAAGATGCCATTTAAATGTATTATATAATACTTTTGTATGAAACTTGTTTGGTATTTTAAGTATTTTGAAAGCTAAAAACACTTAGCAATCTGGATCATAAAATGTTATGTATTAAAGGTATGGTTACTTTGTAAACATAAAATTCTGAAATGAATATACATTCACGGAAGGCTGCAAAAATAGTATAGAGAGGTAACATTTCTGTATATTTTTGATACTCATTTTAATTCTTTAGAATTATTTTAACAGTCATTGGTTAAGATGCTTAATTGTCATTTAAGTAGCATTAGAAATTGAAGCCTTTCATATTAGGAAGAGACATTTTAGATTAAAATTTAACTTTACAGACAAGGAAAACATTTTTTATACCTCAGATTTAATTCAATATTATGGAATTTAAGTTGTGAGCCTTTAAGTATGAATGGAGCTCAAAACTAACATTTTTGTGGCCATGGCCATGGATATATTAGTTACTTTGAAGTTTTTTGTCAGTTTCCATTGGAATAGTTCAGCCTTTAACTTCATGAAATAACTTTTAATTCACTGATTTAATATGTATGTATTTTCTATGCAGTATGAGTTTTCCAGTAACTTCAGTTGGTCAGGATGCCATGTGTTTATCTAATTCTGGAAGAGATGATTCTGAAAAGCCTCCTGCTAGTTTGGATCTTATATCTAGGAAGAGATTTCATTGTAGCCTTGATGAAAGCGACCATGCTTCTCCTGCCAAAAAAACTTCACTCACTTCAAGAGATGATTGTCAGAAATATACCCCTGAGGTAAGAGAAGCATTAAGCAAGTAAGATGGCCATATTACAACAGCCCAATTTCTGCTTTTCGTTTAATTCTTTGTATAAAGGTAGTTCTAATACTTTTCACCACAAATAATTCAGGTAAAACTGGTTTTGTATTTTCACTTTCAACCTGTTCTAGGTGAAAATTGATGGACTTTAATCAGGAAATTCATTCCCAGCTCTGTGTCATTAGCTAAAAATAAAGCTGAAAGCATCATACAGATCTGGATCTTGGCTGTACCACTTAACAGCTGTGAGACCTTTAGCAAGATACTTAACCTCTGATGGAGTTTCCTGTTGTGTAAAATGGTGATAGTAATATCACCACCACCATGATCATACTGCAAGCTTCTTGTTGCTATTAGGAATAAAACCAGAACCTCTAAGGCCCTCTATAGATGTGGCTCATTTCTGTCTCTAGTCTTGTGCCCGTCTCTCCCTCCCTCTCTACCACATTGGCCATCTTTCAGTTTCTCGAAAGCACCATACTTTTTCATATCCCAGGGCATTTCTTTTTTTTTTTTTTTTTAAATATTTTTATTGGGGAATTAGGGGGTGGGAACAGCGCTGGGGAATTGGGGGAAGGGGAACAGACAAGTTGCTGTCCTTTTGTTCTTCAGTCTAGCTGTGGAGGACGTTGCTTCTCTGTCCCAAGTTGGCACCATCATTGCACTCTTCCTGGGTGAGGCAGATCAGTCGCCGGCTTCTGGACAGCCACTCACAGCAGCTGCTGGCCGCCCACGCTGGCTGCCAGCTGCTCACGCTGGCTGCCGGCTACACACGGTAGCCCATGACAACCCACTGCAGCAGAGGCTGCAGCCTACACCGTCGCAGGGGACTCACGGCAACCCAGCTCCAGGTTGAGCTGTTGTTCAGCATCTTAGCTGTAGAGGGCAGTGTCACTGGCCTGCATGTGGGATCCGAACCGGGGTCCTCTGGCATCCCAAGCCAGTTCTTAACCTACATGCCACTCAGCTGGCCCCAGGACATTTCTTTTGCTGCGTCTTTCTGAAACATTTCCTTGCAAAATATACAAATTACTTTAGCTCAATTGTCACTACCTCAGGGAAGCCTAGATAATACTAGACAGATTCAGTTAGTAGCCACTGCGTTGTAGGTTTCTTAGCACCTTCTGGTTTTTGTTTCTGGTACTCATCATAATGTACCACATTATGTAATGGTACTATGGAAAAGTTAATTTAGAATCTTTATTCTCAAAGGGACAGTTGAAGACCTATCGTCTTTAGATGATAGCAGACAACAGAGGCAGTCAGATAGGTGAAAAATGGTATCCCAGAATAGTTGTAATTTCTCTTATTATGAGTAAGGTTGGACATCTTTTCATATGCTTAAGAGCCATTTGTATTTTCTTTTCTGTGAAATGACTATTTTTTACCAGTTATTTCAGTTGGGTTGTTGAGCTTTTTCTTATAGATTCAAAGGAACACTGTTATGTATGCCTGTGATGTGAGTTGCAAATGTTTTTTCCCAGTTGGTTATTTGTCTTTTGACTCTGTGATTTTTTCTCACGTAGACTTTTATTGGTTAACTTTTTAATATGTACATTTTCAAACATTTAAAGAGGTAGACAGGATAGTACAATGTATCCCTGTGGACCAGTCACTCAGATTTAATAATTTGTTAGCATTTCTTGCAGACATTGTTTCATTTGTTTTAAAAGTATTATATTTAATGACCTGGGAAAGAGATCATAGTACATTACTATATGCAAAACTAGGTCATCGATTTTTTTATATGCCACTTAAAAATGATAGATATACATTGCTGTGACTAAATATATGTACAAAAAGTATAATGTCTGTTGGGCTTATTTGTGATTTTTTTATTTTCTAGACCTTGTTTTCACACTTTAACAATAAAAAACTGCTTATAAAAATCAGTTATAATTTTCAATTCTAGAATGCACACTGCATTCAGATAGATATGCAAACATTTTTTATTTTTCTGTGATTAGATTTATCAGTCTTTGTATGTATGGCTTTTGGTGACTATGTTATATATTGAAAGTCTACTTTGAGATTTAAAATAAATTTTTCTAGTTAACACTGATTTGCTTAAAATTTATTTTGGTGTTAGGAAGAGTAGAACCAACTTAATTTTCCACAGATGCCTGTGTAGTTGCCTCAGCACCACTTATTGAATAATTCATCTTTTCTCCACTGATTTAAAATTCCACTTTTATCAGATATTAAATTCCCATATGTATTTGGGTATATTCCTGAACTTGCTTTTCTTCTACATTGACTCACCTATTTGTTCTGGGGCCAGTATCACACTATTTTAATTATTGTTGCTTTTAAGTGCTTTAATATCTTACAGGGATAGTCTCTCCCCCATACAATTTTCTTTTTTTTCCCAGGTTCCTCCTAGTTTCTTATATGTTCTACTAAAGTTCAGATCAGTTTTGGAATTACCTTGTTCAGAACTTTAAAAAAAAATCCTATTGCTACTTGTGTTAAGATTGTATTACTTGACAGACTAACATAGGGAAAATTGATGTCATCATTGTGATGTTGAATCTTCCCATCCAAAAAGATGGTGTGTCTTTCCATTTGTTTGTCTCCTTTTGTGTGTCTCAGTGGTATTTTAAGCTCTTCTTTATATAAATCTGGTACATTTCTTATTAGGTTATCCTGAGAATTTTATCTTTTTTGTTATTATCATTTTGTTATTTTTATTTTATTTTATTTTTTTTTAGCTGAGCGATCCTGCCACCTGTTGGCAGCTCAGCGGCAGCTCAGCTTGGGCCGGGCTTCAAACTGCTGTTGCTCAGAGCTCAAACTATTGAGCGAGCTCTTAACCAACTGAGCCACTCAGCTGGCCCCTCATTTTATTATTTTTTATCTAGAGAGATTACCGAATTCCCATCTTAGAGTGCATTAATTCTTTAGTTGATTCTCTTGTCTTGTCTAAGTAAACAATCATATCATATTCAAATATAACTTTAATTCCTCTTTTTTTACTTTTTATACCTTGAATTTCTCTCTTTTCTAATTATATTGACTAATATAACTAAAAAAAATGTCAGAAAATTGTCCTTACTCCTGACTTTAATGGGAATACTTCTGTGTTTATAAAGTGGGATGTTGGCTGTTGGTTTACAGTAGCTGTATTTTATGGTTTTAAGAAAATGTCTATTAAAAATTTCTTCAAGAATGAATATTATTGGACGCTTTCCCTATAATAGAAGATACTATTTTTCTTTTAAGTTCTGTTGAATTAAATTAATAGATTTCATAATATTGAATCACCTTTGCATTCCTGAAACAAACACTACTTGATCATGCTGTATTGGTCTTTTGAGTACTGCTAAATTGTGCCTGTAATATTTCATGTGACATTTTGCACTGATGTGAGACTGGTTAGTTGGTATCAGTACTGTGCTTGATTTATAAAGGGTATTTGGAAGCTGTACCTTTTCTGTGTTCTGGAATAGTTTAAATAACAATAACAGTGTCTTTTTCATAAATGTTTGGTAAAGTTCCCATAAGACATGCCTGACCCTAGAGCTTTCTGGGTTGATACATGTTTTCTTAAAAAAGAAAGAAGGAAATAAAATTAATTTTATTTGATAAATGGATTTCAAACTTTTTTGTACATTTTTTTAAAACAGGTGTGTTCAAAGGAATTAATAAAGGTTTTTGAGGAAAGAGGTGAGTAAAATAAGTTTTAATGTTATTGTTTTCCTAAGTACCCTTGATTATTTTTGAGGCATCTTGTTCAAATTTGGGATTGAAGCAAAGTCTTGCTCACTTTTTTCTAAGAATCATGCTTTTATTATTAGAACTTTTTTGGCCCATGTGGGAATTGAACCAGCAACCTTGGTTTTATAAGGACTGTGCTCTAACTAACTGAGCTAACTGGCTACCCCAACTCCAAGTCGAATAGTTGTTTCAATCTAGTTGTGGAGGACACAGCTCAGTGGCCCATGTGGAAATTGAACTGACAACCTTGGTGTTGTGAGCACTGTGCTCTAACCAACTGAGCTAACCAGCCGCCCCTATAAAGGAGTTTTTCTAGGTCCTTAGCTGTACCCTGAAATTAGAAAGTGATCACTCTTTCATGTTGCTAGTTCAAGAAATATTTATAGAGAAAGATTTTTTAGGTGAAAATATATCGATATGAATATTTTGTATCTGAATGCAGAAGATGTTACCATAGCTTTTAATTAATTATAATATTCTTAAGAGTCCAGGTAGCTCCATTAATTTATAATTTAACTTTTATTAGGGCACACTTATGATAGAATATTGTGGGGTTTTTCCTTCAAATGTTTGCAATTCATTTGGATGTATTAATTTTAATATGTATGCTTACTGTTTGATTTCTTTTGTTTAAGGGAAGTCTTATAAAGGACAAGATATCTTCCCTACCTCAGAAAGCACACGTACAACTCCAGGACCTCAGAAAGTGCAACTTGAACCAACTTTTCAGAGTATAGGATCTAGATCTTTTGATAAAATAATAGATACACGTGTAGAAAAGAATACACCTCAGTTACCTCAGGATGAGATGATTATGTCTGATAAGGAAGAAACAACTTGTGCAGCTTCTAAGTCTAAAAAATTGGATAGCATCACATCATCTTCAAAAACCTCACTATCCAGGTATCATGAGAAAATTTTAAATAAATGTTTCTCCATTTTTGTCTCTCGGTAGATAAATATAACCTATATGAAGCAGATATCTGTATATATCTATCATCTATATCTGTCAATCAATCAGTCAAATCAATCAATCACGGCTAAATCCAATACTAAGGATGTTATTTTAGAAACATGTCCCTCTGTTGGTGATGTAAAAGGAAGGAAATACAGTAATGTCAAACACTTTTGTAGGACTGTTCCAGATAATATGCATTCCATATAATAATAGCTTAACTTTAAGTACTGAAACTTTAACTTTTTAGATAGAAAATCTTTAGAATTTAGTATTGTACACTTTTTTTTTTCAGATAATCCATGGTTATTATTTTGAACATTATTTTTTCTACCATATAGTAGCTGCCAGTGCAGATGTAGATGGTCTAAAATAAAGGCCTAGCATCAAAAGTATCTCTGGATGTTGTTTTATTGAGGTCCCAAATAATGTGTGCATTTTTCTCCCTTGTGGCATACCTAAGAGGTACGCCATGGCTTTCTACGTATAAGAATAAGTGTGAAGTTTAAGTCCAAAGCCAGTTTCTCCCACATTATTTTCCTCTTACTCTAGAAGCAAGCCATCAAGGTTATGGATAATTATTGACTTGTCAGCAGCATTCAAATCATTAACATAGTGTTGGTGTGTTAAAGTGGGGAGGACATGCACTAATCTCCACTAAAGGAAAGGGGGGAAAGGATGTGTAGCTTGAAAAGGCATATTTAATGAATCTATTGTTTCTGTTATATAAACTACAGAAAGTAAAGCTCAGCAATATCTTTTCTGGTCTTAGAGACATGCTGAAAATAGAATGAGGGAAGCATCATGGGGTTTTGGGTTAAAACCAGTTGAGGAGCAGTGTTCTAGAGCAAGGGTCAGAACATTTTTTTGGTAAAAGGTCATATAGTATATATTTTAGGCTTTGTGTCCCATATGTCTCTGCTGCAACTACTCAACCCTGCATTTGTAATGCAGAAGCAATCATGTTTAAACAGATGAGCATGGCTGTGTTTCAGTAAAACTTGTTTGTAGTGGGCTGCATTTGGGCTATGGACCATACTTTGCTGATCTCTCCTTTAGAGCCTTGCTAATCAAAGTCTGGTCCTGGGACCAGCAGCATGGACATCATCTGAGAACTTGTTAGAAATACAGAACTCAGGCTCTGCCCCCTACCAACTCCGTCAGAATCATCATTAATATGATCCCCAGGTGATTTGTATGCACTTTTCAGCTTAAAACTACTGCTCTAAGTAAGCTTTGCTCTTTGTCACAAATATATGTCATGCCATAAAGATATCAATAGTTAGTGATATCAGTACTTAGTAGATGTGCTGATACCACTAATGTGATATCACATGTGCCATTTTAGGATTAATGGAAAGAAGTTAGTATTGAGAATATGTCTTTCTGAAAGGGAACCTTCGTGCACTGCTGGTGGGATTGCAAATTGGTGCAGCCTCTGTGGAAAACATTATGGAGCTTCCTTAAAAAATTAAAAATCGAACTACCTTGTGAGTCAGCTATTTCACTTCTGGGTATTTAGCTGAAGAAATCCAAAAAACTAATTTAAAAAGATGTATGCATCCCTATGTTCACTGCAGCACTATTTACAATAGCCAGGATATGGAAGCAACCTAAGTGCCCATCAATAGATGATCGGGCAAAGAAGATGTGGTACATATATGCAATGAGATATTAGTTGGCCGTTAAAAAAAAAAAAGAAATTTTAACCATTTGCGACAACATGGATGGACCTAGAGGGTATTATGCTAAGTGAAATACGTCAGACTGGGAAAATAAAGTACCATATGAGCTCACTTATATGTGGAATCTAAAAAACAAAATAAACAAACAAAACAGAAACAGACTCATAGATACAGAGAATAAATTGATGGTTGCCCGATGAAAGGGGAGTTGGACTGGGTGAAAAAGCTGACGGGATTAAGTACAAATTGCTAGTTACAAAATAGTCACTGGGATGTAAAGCACAGCATAGAGAATATAGTCAATATTATTGTAATAACTATATATGGTGTCGGTGGGTACTAGACCTATGGGGTGATCACTTCATAAGTTATATAAATGTCTAACCACTATGCTGTACACCTGAAACTAATATAATATTGAATGTCAACTGTAATTAAAAAATAAAGGAAAGAATGTGTCTTCTTAGATATTATTGAATATCTTTACATTTGCATTTCTAGACCTGGCAGAAGACCCCTGGGATTTTTGTCTTTAATATGTTCAAAAAATAGCTTGGAGTCTGATGAGCCTACTCAGGTTCATAGTAAGAAACGCTTAAAACCTCGTATACCTGTATCAAGACAGAATTTGAAAAGATCTAATCCACTCAGTGAAAGTCAGAAAAAAATTCAAGAGGCCTCTGATCTGCTTCCATCTCCAAGTGTTGTTGCTAATACTCATTCTGAGAATATAAGCAGTTCAGCAACTAAGGTATGTGATAACTCCTTGTTTTATTGTTTGTATAGAATGGGTTGGATATCAGACTCAACCAGGAAAAACATGGATGATTATTTTGAAAATTGTTATTTTCATTTGGATGTCAGAAATTATTGCAGAACAACAACTATCCATCTCCTCCCATCATACCCCACTATACTGGAAGAAGATAAGATGTTGAATTAGGAAGTTACATCTGGCTTAATACAGAGCCATTGAATGAATCAGTCATAAATGGACACTTAATTGCCATTTCTTTAAAGCAAAGACCCTTCTGACCCAGAAGCAAAACAAAGCAGTGCTTGCATTTTATTTGCTTTAGGAGAAATGTCCTGATACCCACAAGAATTCAAGAAATGGTAAAATTCGAATTTGTTTGCATGTTTTTTTTATATGCATTCTGAAGCTGTCCATATGGCAACAAGTACTGGGATGGGAAAATCAGTGAACCCGTATCAAAGACTTCAGAAGAATTTTGGGCTGACTTAAGGTCTCAACAAAGAAAAGGCTTGTGACTGTCTATTGGGCATTGTGAATCTCAAAGGAAGGTGTATTTTTGTAAAAAATCTTTAAAAAGTTATTAAATATTTTATAATATTTCCTGGAATTATCTTCTGAGACCAAGATTTTATGAGTCTTTGTTATTATTGCCAAATTACTCTGGAAAACAGTGTTATAATTACCAGCAGTGTTGCAGTGACAGTTTAACCACATCCTTGCCAGCATTATTTACTTTTCAAAATAATTTTTTTTCTTATATAATGGTAGAGTGGTGGACATGTCATTTCATTTTTTTCCCCCTAAGGTTTTATTGGGGGATTGGTGAAGGGGAACAGTGTTGGGGAATTGGGGAAGGGGAACAGCCAAGTTGTTGTGCTTCAGTCTTAGTTATGGAGGATGCATCTAGCTCAGCTCCAAGTCCAGTCGCCATCTGGTCCCCTGTCGGCAGCTCCCGGCCGCTCAGCTCAAGGTGTCATGTTCATTCTTAGTTGCGGGTGGATGTAGCCCACCATCCCATGTCGGAGTCGAACTGGCAACCTTGTTGTTAGGAGCATGTCCTTTCACCAGCTGAGCCATCCTGCCACCTGTTGGCAGATCAGCGGCAGCTTAGCTCGGGGGCAGCTCACTGGCCCATGTGGGAACCGAACTGATGATCCTGTTGCTCAGAGCTTGTGCTCTTAACCAACTGAGCCACTCGGTTAACCCCCATTTCATTTGTTTAATTTCCATTTTTTAAGTTTCTAGTGACTTAGTGTTCTTCCACGTATTTAGTAGATTTTTTTTTTTTGTTCCCATCTTTTGCTGATTTATAGTATTTGGGATTTTAGTGGTTTTTTGTCAATTTGTATGAGATTTTTATGTGTGTAAAAAAAAGCCACCTACCTTTTAGCTCTTTGCTGCAAGTAGTTTTTCCAAGTTTATTTACTTTTTTAAATTTTAGAGGTTTTTTTTGATATGCATAAACTTTAAATGTTTAGTCAAATTTATTACTTTTTTTCTTGCAATTTCTTAAATTGCTTTTATGATTAGGTGGTTTTTCTCCAGAGATATAAAATTTTTAGTAATCAGTTTTAAAATTAATTCTACTCATGATTTTTTTTTTTTTTAAGATTTTTATTGGGGGAATTGGGGGAATGGGAACAGTGCTGGGGAATTGGGGGAAGGGGAACAGACAAGTTGCTGTCGTCTTGTTCTTCAGTCTAGTTGTGGAGGACGTTGCTTCACTGGCCCAAGTTGGCATCATCATTGCGCTCTTCTCTGGCGAGGCAGATCAGTCGCCGGCTTCTGGACGGCCGCTCACTGCGGCTGCTGGCCGCTCACGCTGGCTGCCGGCTACATACGGTAGCCCATGGCAACCCACTGCCACAGGGACTGCAGCCTACGCCGTCGCCGGCGACTCATGGCAGCCCAGCTCCAGGTTGAGCTGTTGTTCAGCATCTTAGCTGTGGAGGGCAGTGTCACTGGCCCTCATATGTGGGATCCGAACCGGGGCCCTCTGGCATCCCAAGCCAGTTCTTAACCATCGCGCCACTCGGCCGGCCCCTACTCATGATTATTGACTTTGGTATATAGTGTGAGGTATATTTGGTATATAGGGGGAGGCAAGACTCAACTAAATGTTATTCACAAATTGCTATTTTATTTATTTTTTGAATAAGTAATATATTCTACATGTTTTAAAATTCATGATCTATAAAAAAGCGTTTATAGTAAAAAGTTTCCCACATGTGTTCACAAGCTTCATAGTTCCCCCTTTCTGCAGGTATATTAGTATTATCAATGGTTGGTTTACTTTTCCAGAGATATTTTATGTATACACAAATATAAACATTCTTTTATATATAAATAATAGCATACTCTCCTCTTTCTTGCTGTTTTTCATCTGACAGTATTTCTTGGAGATCTTTGCAAAATGTTAGATAAAGAGCTTCGTTCTCTCTCTTGTTCTCTTTTAAAAAAAATTTCAGTTCAACTTTCTTCGGAGGTCATTGTAGTTTCACATGCAGTTGTAAAAATCATAGAGAGACAGTCCCGTGTACCCTTTATCCAGCTTCCCCCAGTGGTCGCATCTGTAAACTTGTGGTCCAGTATTGCAGGCAGGATATTGACTTGCTACAATGAAGACACAGAACAGTTCTGTCGCCACAGTCGTCCTTTGTCCTCTATAGACACACCTATTTCCCTCCCACCTCTATTTTCTCCACTTCTGCAACCTGTTTTCCATTAAATTTATCATTCTGAGAAAGTGATGTAAGTGGCATGTTATATACAGTTGTGTAAATGGAATCACACATTTGGAATTGGCTTCTTTTCATTCAACGTAGTTCCCTAGAGAGTCATCCAGATGGTTTCTAGCAATAGTTTATTTCTTTTTATTGCTGGGTACTATCCCATAGTGTAGATGTACCAGTTTTGTTAATCCATTTATCCATCGAAGGACATCTGGGTTGTTTTCATTTATAGGCTATTATGAATAAAACTTCTGTGAACATTCATATGCAGGTATTGGTGTGGACATAAGTTTTTGTTTTTCAGGAATAAGTGTCCAAGAGTACCCTCCTTATTTTTAATGATGACATTAAAAATTATTCCAGTGTTTGGATGTACCATAAAGTGATATTGGTCTCACACTGGTAGGCATTTAGGTCATTCCTAATTATTTGCTATTTCAAACAATGTGGTAGTAGCTAACTTATAAATGGACCATTTTGAACTTTTATCTACAGGTAATTTCTAGAAATATTAATAGAATTGGTGATCAAAAGGAATGATTATTCTTATGAGAGATATTGCCTGACTGTCCTCATTAAACAGTTTCTGTTCTTAGCAGTAGATGAGAGGGCCTTTGTCCTCACACTAGCATGTTATCAATTTTTTTCACATTTTGACATTTTTCGTAGATTTAATGAGCACCTGTGAGTGAGACTGAACATCTCTTTGTGTATTTGAATCACTTATGCTTTTTCTGTGAACCATCTCTTCATATAATTTGACTTTAAAGAATTGGGTTATTAGTCTTTTTCATATTTATTTGTAAAAGCTCTTACTATATTAAAGAAAATCCTTTGTGATATAGGCTGCAAAGATTTGTCTTTTGATTTTACATATGGTGGTTTTTGCCATGCAGATATTTTTTATTTTTATGTAGATGAATATACCAATCTTTTCTTTGATGGCTTCTGGATTTCATGCCATTTACTTATTTTTATTTTTTATTTTTTCATGCCATTTAAAAAGATACTCCCTCTCCCCAACTCTAGGATTATAAAAGTTTTCCCATAGTATTTTATAGTAGATTTAAAAAATATATTTTTAAATTTAAATCTTTTGATCTATCTAGAATTTATTTTGGAGAGGTACAGGCCTGACTTTTTTTTTCTCCTGAGATGATTATACAGTTTTCCAACATCATTTATTGAATAATCCAACTTTTCTCATTTTCTATTTGGAAACATCACTTCATCAGATACTAAATTTCCATCCATATGTGTTGGGGATATTGTTAGTCTTCTATTTCATTGGTATATAGGTGCCTTTTCTTTTTTTTTTCTTTTTTTTTTTTTTTTAAGATTTTTATTGGGGAATTGGGGGAAGGGGAACAGACAAGTTGCTGTCATTTTGTTCTTCAATCTAGTTGTGGAGGAGGTTGCTTCACTGGCCCAAGTTGGCACCATTATTGCGCTCTTCCCGGGTGAGGCAGATCAGTCGCCGGCTTCTGGACTGCCGCTCACTGCGGCTGCTGGCCGCTCACGCTGGCTGCTGGCCACACACAGTAGCCCATGGCAACCCACTGCAGCAGGGGCTGCAGCCTACGCCGTCGCCGGCACTCATGGCAGCCCAGCTCCAGTCTGAGCTGTTGTTCAGCATCTTAGCTGTAGAGGGCAGTGTCACTGGCCCTCATATGTGGGATCCGAACCGGGGCCCTCTGGCATCCCAAGCCAGTTCTTAACCATCGCGCCACTCGGCCGGCCCTATAGGTGCCTTTTCTTATGTCAGTACCACATTGTCTTAATTTTTATAGATTTGTAAGTATGCTAATATTTGATAGGATTGTTTTCATTTGTGATGTTTTCTTGAGGTACTGTTCTGTTTCGTGTGCCTGTCTATATTTACACTGGTTATTAAAATGTTTTCTTTATAGACTTAACAATGTTATGTTTTTCCTATATTAAAATTTTTTCATGGAAATTAATGTGATGTAGTAGATCATGTATACATTATAATTAACCTAATCATGTCTAGTGTCGTATATTTGTTGATTCCAATTTTATTATAAGTAATGCTACAAAGGTTATCTTATTCATAAAACTCTTACTATGTTAGTATTATTTTCTTAGTATAATAGCATAGATATGGAATTATTGAGTCAGTGAGTATGAACATATTTAAAGCTCTTAATATTTATGCTGTATTACTTTTTAAACAGATGCCAATTTAGATTACCACTACAAAATATATAAATGTTTTATTGCATAATTATTTTCATTACCTTTTTAGGCTTCTTGTGATCCTTCCTTACCGAAAGAAGTATGTAAAAGTGTCCAAAACCAGGCACTTGACGAGGAGCCACCTGTAGTCTCTGAGCATTTCTTCAGCGATATCTTTATTGAAGTGGATGAAACAGAATAAGTTTTTTATTTTATTTTTTATTAAGTCTAAGTCAGTTATATCAACAAAATGGTATTTAGAAAAAAGCATCACTGTCTATCTTTCTGTAGGTTGATTTTGAATATTTAATGAGCTTGGCTGAAACTTTCATAATCAGTGGAAAACATTACTGAGGTTCCTTTCATTCTGATTAATTTAGCATTTTGGAAATACCAAGCAATTATGACTGCTTTCTCAGACAGAAATAGCAACTCTTGTTTACATTCAACTCTTCCTGTGCTGAACACATATGGACATTTTGGAATGTCGTGCGTGGATAAATGTCTCTATAAATCACAGTGCCGACGTATTTGGAGGTGGATTGTATTTAACATTTATCGAACTACTTTTGTGAAGGTTTATTTCTGTTTATTTGGATTTGTTTTTGATGATTAAGGCCTTTTCAGTTGTCTCTGAGTACATGAAAGCAAATTGTGAAACTCCACTTGTAAATGTTAAAAACTTTTCTATTATCAACTATTTGACTGAAAAATGTGTATTTTTCTATTTCATGATGTAACATTAGTCCTAATTGAAGAACTAGTATTTAAACTTATTATTTATAAAGGTGAAAAATCAAAAAGCTATTTATTTTTAAATTTTTTAATTTAAAAGACTATTCAGTTTTAATTATTTTCACCCCTCAGATTATGGGTAAAGAAGGCATTAACAAATTTGTGTTTGTCTCCTTTCCCTCTTTAATTTTAAATATATTTAAAGTGATATAACTAAAAGTGTTTGGATAGTGTATATGTTTTGAATACATTTTTCTCATAGTTTAGTATATTAACTTTGTACTGTGAATTTTTTGTTTTTCTTATTTCTTGGATAATCTCAGGGTTTGTATGGGAAAAACCACCCTTAACTTCATTTATGAGGCAAATTTCCATACAAAACTCAATCTCCTTTACACACACACTCTCATACACACACATTCCTTTTTTTAAAAACCAATTTCTTGGTAGTTTTCCCCCCATTAAATTCTGCTTAAGGAACACTAGGCCTTTAAGCACAGAACAGAGTTGTGATATTAAAAACAGAAAATAAGATAACAATAAGACTTTATTAAATCAGTGGTTATCATCAATATGAATTTAAGGGTTGTTTTTGATTTTGTGATTTATATATGTATGAGGGTAATTCTGTTATCCACCCGAGTAAATCTTTGGTGGTTAAAATTAAATTTCTGAAAGAGATTTATTCTTTTACTTGAAAAACATCCTGGGTTGATAATGCATTAGATTAGCAGTCTGAAACATTTTCCACAAAATATTTTCGAGTTTGTAGGCCAGATGGCCTCTGTGGCAATACTCAACTCTGCCATTTCAGTTGAAAACAGCCACAGACGATACTAAGATGATGGACATGGCTGGATTGGGTTTTTAGTTTGACCCCTACGTTAGACAGTACTTTTCTTACCTAAAGGTGCTGATGTCTTTATCTATGAGATATTTGTCATTGAAGTTATAAGTTGTGCCTAACAATTAAAACTGTGTTGATTGCATTATGAAAGGATCAGTATTCCAATTGGGGAGATATTTAAATGTCTAGATAATTGTGTTTGTGTATTGAAATAAAATAGTGGACAGTTTTCAAGTTCATGAGTAAAATAGGATATGGCTGAGGAGGAAGTACATCAGTAACTTATTAAAACAATTGATGTTAGAGCAGGTTTTCATTTCCTTGTAGTGAAATTTGTAGTTTAATTTTTTTGTCATAAAGGAGGATCTATAAATTTGAGTAAAAATTCTGTATAGGTATGCATTTATTTTATGTGATTAATATATCACAAAAATCATGGTAGTAAGTCACATTGCTATTTTAATGCTCTGTTTTTATAAAGTTTTTACTCTCTCATTCTGAAAGGTTTCTTTTGTTTAATATTAATTTGGATTATTAGGTTGCCACAGTTAAACTATTATTTTACCCCTTATATATTGTGGTTTTTGTTTTGTTTTGTTTTGTTTTTTAGCTGAGCCATCCTGCCACTTGTTGGCAGCTCAGCGGCAGCTCAGCTCGGGCCAGGAATCAAACCGGTGACCCTGTTGCTCAGAGCTTGCACTTTTGAGTGAGCTCTTAACCAACTGAGCCACTGGGCCAGCCTTACATAATGTTTTTTAACTTTCTTAACATCTGTCGCTTGTTCATCCAGAGTGAATTACTTTTACGAAAGATGTAACTTCTTACTGTATAAAGAATAATTTTATCTTTGGGCATTCATTGTATTAGAGAATCAAGTTGGCCAGCTAAATTATCCTACTATTATATACTTAAAATTAATCTTGGGAAGAGAAAACTGAATCAGTGTATTTACCTTACAAGATTGAAAAGACTTGTTCACACCTGTATTTAATCTAATGCATATAAAGATGATGTCTGGAAGAAATTGTATTTTATAAATCTTAAAGGAGATATGATTAAAGGTCTTTATTTTTTGTGACTTTTCCTCCTGAACATTTACGTCTTAGCAAATGATCAACATATAAAAGCCTAATTGTTGGTAAATGATTGAGGCACAATAAAAATATGAATATCCACTGTTTACCACCATGTTATATGAAATAGAAGTGACCATGTATACTATCTTGCTTGAAGAAGTCTGAGACAAAAAAGCAATATCTGTCATTTGTAAATTTTCTTGTTCTAAAGAAAGCAGTTATGTTCTATAGATATAAATTATGTAAATAAAATTTATTTTATACTATTTTTGTTGTGTCCTCTTCTTTATGTTTAGTTAACCAAAACTAGTAGTTTTTGAACTACAGCTTATGCTTACATTATTCCTTTCATGAAAATACAGTACAGTCATCTCTTGTATCTGAGTGGATTGGTTTTGAAACCCCCGACAGGTACCAAAACTTGAAGATGCTCAATTCCCTTATATAAAATGGCATAGTATTTGCATATAATTTATGCATATCCTCCCGTATACTTTAAATCATCTCTAGATTACTTATAATCCCTAATGCATAGTAACAGCTATGTAAACAGTTGCTATACTGTATGTTTAGGGAGTAATGACAAGAAAAATCTCTACATGCTCAATACAGACACGGCCATCGTAGACCTAACTATGTATTACATGTCACCAACTACATAACATTTTTTTCGAATATTTTGGATCCGCAGTTGGTTGAGTATTTTTTCTCATTGTCCAGTGGGTGAGGGATTGTGAGGAATCCCAGATTTGTCAGAGGCAAAGTTTTAGAAGTGAATAATGTACATCTAAGTTGTAATTTATTACTATTAGAATTATTTTTGCTTACTTGATGATCTTTCCACTTTATAAAATTAGACTCTTTTGTTCTCCACTGTATCCCCAGCGCAGAAGAGCCCCCACCTTACACAGGAGACATTAAAGGAATATTTGAATGAATAATGTATTGTCTTGGAATACCCTTTTTATTAGCAGGGGAAGAAAAAAGCACAATAGAAAATGAACTGAGACCGATTCCAAGGAAATTCAATGTCAGATCATCAATTCAGGGCCCCAGGAGGCAGGACCGCCAGGAAAGGGTCGCTCCACCCCTGGACTCGCAGTTCTCGTGGGCTCGCGATGAACAGGGGCTCGCGTGGCTACACATCTGTCCCTTATTAGCTGAGTGTTGGGGGCGTGGTGCGTAGTGCCGACCAATCACGGGAGACATGCCCAGACACGTATCCCGCCTGGCCTGGGAATCGGATGTTTCAGGCACCCGGTTGGGACTTAAAGAACGTCCGCTGAGCCTTAGCCGGAAGCTGGGAAGCCGGAGTTAAAGCACCGGCTCCGGGCGGGCGCGGCAGCTGTCTAGCGCTCTTCCCTCGCTGTTTGCCGGCTGCCATGTGGGCCACCCGGAGGTTAGCTCTGTGGCGGTGTGCCTGCGCTGCTGCCCGCGGGCTGCGCGCCTATCACGGGGACTCGGTGGCCACGCTGGGTACTCAGCCGGACTCGGGCTCTGCCATCTACCAGGTAGGCTGGTTGGGCGGCCTGGGCCTGGAACCCCCGGGCCGAGTCTGTGATTTCCTCTATCACACGTCCACCAGTGTCATTACGACGGGACCAGGAAACAGATGGGAGCGAGGTTGGGCACTCTTTTGCAGCTGCTTTTCTTTTCTCTGGAGCCCCAGTCGTGACTCTGGGACACACTAAGAGGTCGTGAAGTTAAAAAAAAAATTCCAGATCAAGTTCATTTTAGTTCACTTTTGGCACTGGCACTGTACTTTGTGTCTTTGAAATCGGTGGTTCTCAAAACCTGGTTTAGCATTGTCACCTGAGGAGCTGTTAAATACATAGCTGCCTTAAGCTCCACCCTGAACCTTTTTGGGTCTTTGGGTCTTTGGGGTGGGGTTCTGGTGTTTATGGGGTTAATGAAGTCCTGAGGGCGCGGTGGCAGCCAGTTTGGGGAACCACTGGCCTAGGACAGCAAACCTTGGAAGTTGTGCTTATCAGACTTAAGTTAAATAGTTTTTAATGTTAATAGAAAATACTTATCCTGCAGTATCTTTGAACAGCTTTTCTTGGAACTGGGAGGTATTAGAAGATGAAAAACAATTTCCATCTTGTATATGTCAGAGCTGAAAAATTTCAGTCTGTGCCATGGTTTCTAAGCTTATACAGATAACATTTAAATTGTGCAAATAACTTTCAGAGAAAACATTTTAAAGGATCCCTGCCCCTGGGAAAACAAGGAAATTAAAAGAAAATCTGAACAATATCCAATGAGAGGCTTTCAGAAATCTTTAGATTTCCTGGGATCAAGAGAGAATGTTTAATTCAGAAACATTAAGTGTTTACTTTGATCTAGGCATTATTGTAGGTATTTGGTATAGATGTATGGGAATAGAATCATAATTTTGTGGGGAAGATGGACAAGAAAGGAGGTTAACTACAGTGCATTGTGATAACTGGGGTCTAAAGCTTGAAAAGGTGATTGCAGAAAATTGCAGATAGGAAGTAATGAACGAGTTGGATCTTGATGGTTGGGTTAGAGCTGGCCAGGTTCAGGGGAGAGGATGGGAGGCAAGACTACACAAACTAAGGGAATTACAAGAATATAGGTACCAAGTTTGTAAAAGTGTATAGTGGGTGTGACCTGGAAGTCATGGCTGGGTATGGAATTCATGGAGTAGATGAGATTATGTGGCCAGATAAAGGAGCACCTTGTGTGCAGAAGCCACCTTTAGATTTCATTTTGCAGGCGGTCTGCCAAGATATTTAAGTAAAGTGGCATGATCCTATGGAAATAGAATCATCAGTGTGTGGCATTGTGGAGTATAGATTTCCTGCCATTTTGAATATGGCTGCTTCTTGGCTCGGTGTTCTCTTGGTTGCTGTAGGCCTTTTACTATTTTCCAGAGCCCCTAAAAGGTTATTATAACCAGTTTTTGGTTGTTTTGTGGTGTCTCTGTTGGAGAATGAGGGCCTGGAGCGTCCTGTTCTGCCATCTTTTGACATCAGGTCTGGGCTGATGTTTTTGATGGTGCCTGTAGCTAGGGGTTAGGGAATGTGAGTCTGAGAATATAACTTCTTTTTCTGTGTAAAATGTTTTTATCTTTTGTTCTAATCTGCACCAGTAATTAAAACGGAAGTAGTTGTGGTGTGGTGTTTTTCATGTATATTAAAAACTAACAGAAGGGCCAGCTGAGTGGCTCAGTTGGTTAAGTGCTCACTCAAGAGTGCAAGCTCTGAACAACAGCGGTTCGATGCCTGGCCCGAGCTGAGCTGCCGCTGAGCTGCCAACAGGCGGCAGGATGGCTCAGCTAAAAAACAAAACAAAACAAAAAAATCTCAAAAAACAAAAAAAACTTACAAGCAACATATTTCCATAGGGAAAAAAAAAACCTGGAGGGAACTGTGCTAAAATGTTAATCATGAGCCTGTCAGTGGGCAGAAGAGGCAGTGTAGGACGTTGGTTTAAGAGCAAGGTTCTGGAGCTAGTGAGCCTTGGTTTAAATCCTAGCTATGCTACTTGTTAGCTGAGTGACCTTGGGCTAGTAATATTTAGCCTCTCTGTGACTTGGGTATCTTATAGAGATAAGCAGGATAGTTAGTGATTGCTTAGGTCAATGCCTGGAATATAATAAGCCCTCAAGAAATATTAGCTCATGATGCTTTTCCTCCTCTCAAAGTCATCTCATGATCTGTATTTTAGCCAGTTTTTGCTTTAGTAATTGTAGCAAATAATCCCAAGATCTCAGTGCCCAGAATAACAAGTATTTATTTTTTGCTCTTGGGTCTGTGGGTTGTTACAGCAGTTCTGGTGTAGGCAGTACATCAGATTCAGATCTGCTCTACTTGTCTCTTATTCCAGGACCCAAACTGAAAGGACAGTGGGTACTGGGGGAATGCTTTTCTCACAGTGGAAGGCTGGGGCTCAAGAGGCGAGTATGGAAACAATTTGCCACTCTTTTTTTTTTTTTTAAGTTTTAGGTGTATAAACAACATTGTGATTAGACATTTATATACCTCACAAAGTAATAACCCCAATAAGTCTATTACCCATCTGACGCTGTATAGAGTTAATACAATATTATTGACGTGTTCCCTATGCTGTACTACATATCCCCATGACAACTTTTTAAACATTATAGTTGACATTCATTATTTTATATTAGTTTCAGGTATACAGTGTAGTGGTTAAACATTTATATAATTTATGCAGTAATCCCCCCAATAAGTCCAGTTACCCATCTAACAACCATACCTGGTAACTTCTGCTTGCAATTGGCACTGTCACATTTGCCCACATTCCACTGAATAAAACAAGTAATATGGACAAGCCCATGGACTGTGAGGTGGGAAAGTATAATCTCATAGTGAACCTTGGCAAGGTTGGGAGGGAAGAATTTTGAACAAATAATACAATTTGCCTCGTGACCTAAGATGGTTGCTTAAGCTACAACTATTATGTCTGAGTTCCAGGTACAAAGTAGGAGGAAAGGTGAGTAGGCAAAAGGACACCTTCCTCTGCTTGTCTTCTTTTTAAGGAGGCCTTCTAGAAGTCATACCTAACAACTGCCTGTATTTCATTGATTAGAATTTAGTCACACAACCACACCTGTCTACAAAAGGAAGCCAGGATGTAGTGCTTTTCCAGCTGAGCATGTTGCCACCTTGAATAAAATTGGGATTCCATCATCAAGGAAGACTGGAAGAATGGACATGGACAAGCATCTGATACTGTCTGCCACCGATAATAAATAGCATGGAGAGAGTGGGTGTGTTCTTAACTTATGTTGGATGTTAAAAGATTTCACTTAGGTGCATCCATATCTTCTGGGACCTCCAGCTACAAGTAGGAAACCTTGATGCAAAGAACCCACAAAAGGGGAACAAAAGATAAAGCCATGCCTTGGACGAGAGATGGCACGTAGTCCAGTTTCTCTCTGCCTAGTTTTCCTAGTCACTCACATTAGAACAGTAAGACGTACTGCCTGCTCTCACTTTTCCCATAACCATGTGTTTTAGAAAGCCGTGGCAGGTAGTGACAGTTTTTTAATGAGAGTCTGGCTTAGCTAGGGTAAAGATCCCTTGCATAACCAGCTTTCGCTTTGATTGACGCTGTTCTAAACTGGGCAGTGTCATTGCCTACAGGGATTGTAGTTTGGGACTTGGGTACACTTTAACAGAGGATGACTTATTTTCTCTGTATGTGAACTGGTTTTCATCAGCTCTAAACTTTGGTGCCTATGGTTGCAAAGTTGGCAGGAGATTGGCAGGTAGGCTGCAGGAGGGGCGCTGGAGGAGAAAGAATAAAAAATTAAAGGCACTCCAGAATCCCATCAGCCTCTAGATCTGCAAGGGAAGAAGAACTTGTTAAAGGACACCGTGGGGATGTATTTGGCACTGTGGGAAAAATCCGTGGGACAAACAGAACATTTTAAGACACAAAAGATGGAGAACTTATATTTTAGAAAAGGCTTAATAAATATATCAGCCAATTGTGGGTATGTGGACCTTCCATAGGATCCTATTCAAATAAAATGTAAAAAAAAATCTGACAGTGGGGAAATGTCTGCGCTAATTGGAATTTGATGATATTAACAGATTATTGCCATGTGATGATGGTCCTCATCTTTTGGGGATTTGGAAATACTTACAGATGAAGCGTTCCATCTAGGGTTTTCTTCAGAACCATTCAGGGTGGGCATAGGGAAACCACTGGCCATTTATGGATAATTGTTGAAGTGCATTTCATTATACTGGTCTTTGCTTTTGTATTTTTTTTATGTTTGAAAATTTCCAAACATATAATGTTTGGAATGACACTGAACCACACTAAAGGGAAGCTGAACATGTTCGTGAAACCCCCCACTCTTTAATTTGCCATAATGTAACCTGCCTTTTCCTTTTCTCGCGCTGTTGAGCTGAATAGGACTGAGCAGGAGATAGAATGTCATTATGACTAGATGGACTTGCTGGTGAATTAGCCCCAAATGATGTCACTGAAACCTTTTTTCCTTTATCTTACCAATTTTAAACAGGCAAAATAGGATTGTTTCATGACCTCAGGAACTCTTGGAGCTGTAGAAAATAGGAAATAATGGAGATATATTATAAAGACTGTAAATTTGCCTAC